ATTTTTAGAAGTGACTGTAAATAGCTGAGTTAAAGACAGCAAATTCACATTTTTGGTAAATAATGGCTTAGTTTAGAAGTACAGCTCCTTCAGAGCCATTTGGCTACAAAGCATAGACCTAGCAGGTTTCCCTGTCCTAGAGAGCAATTGCTCAAAAAAACCAAACCAAAACAAAACAAAAACCAAAAAAACACAACCCAAAAGTTATAAAAGCACAACCCAAGCTTCACAGAACCAGGCTTTACTTCTTAAACACAGTAATAAGTTCCATGCACATCAGAAATCCTTGCCATTCCTCACTAGCATTTTAAAACCTACAAAATGCATGTTTTCACATAAGGAAAAGCATCACACAGGTATTTTCACTTTAGGTTACTCCTGCCTCTCTCTTCCTCTACCCTACACTGTAAAACTTCAGTAATAAGCTACAGGACTCAAATAGCCCCTTGCTTGCAGTTGCATAGGAGGCAGAGCCTACAGAGCTCATCTCTCTCTGCACTGTCAGGATAAGAGCTCAGTGACACAGCCAACGCCAACTGCAGAGCAGCACTGTTGACAGCAACAGCCCTGTTACAGGCCCAGGACTGAGGCCTAAACCCCGTGCAGTGCTGCTGACAGCAATGGCTGGTCACAGGCCCAGGGCAGGCAGCAGGAAGACTCAGCAGGAGGAGTGTCTGCTACAGGACAAGGCTTTCCACAGCACACTTCAGCTGAATTCACAAGCCAAATCCTCAGACTTTAACTGAGAAACTTATCTGGATGATCTATGATTTGTAAGGTCATGTCCCAACTGAAAGTTTCATCCACCTACTACTTTTCATCTGCTGCTTCAGCAAGATATTTACCACAGTCCTGTAAGCAAGGAAAAGTGTTTCAGACAGCTAATCACCTTAGAAAACAAACCTGTTTCAGGTAGCCAATCATCTCAAAACACTGCTTCGCAACCACTGAAATAACAAGCACTGAGCGAAAAATGAAAAGATTACAACACTCTTAAATACATTCCCTTACATTTCAGTAGCTAAAATTAAAACAGAACTATTATTGGTTCATATGAGAGAAGATTTCCTTTGTTTCAAACAGTTTATTTAGTTGTCCATATAGATCTGTTCACTGTGCTTGGAATTTTAACTTGGGCTGCATTCCTCAACTCTCCAAACGCTAATTTAAATTAATGCTGGAGTGAGGGAGCAAGAGAAGTAAGGCATGGCAAGGAGTGCTGCATCCCCAGCATCACCGAGACCTGACATCCAGCCAGCAGCTGTCACCTTGCAGTTAGCAGAAACACACCGTGCTTCTAGCTTATCCAAAGGCACTGAAGGGCTTCTTAACACAGCAGCTTCACCAAAAAAAAAAAAAAATTATGATGTGATTATATAATAGAAAGTAAGAGAAAAAAATTGAACCATAAAGCAACTAAAAACAAAACTCTAACAAATCAGCCTACACAACATTTTATTAACTTACTGTTACCAGGAGGGAGAGAGAAAACAAACAAAAACCCTGCCTCATGCCTTCTCCTCACATCCACCCATCAGCATACAGAATTTACTCAGTTCCACCTATCTTTCTTTTTACTACTGAAAACGCATATAAAGAACTGAAGGTATATTTACAGTGGTTTTAGTACAACATGAAACCTCTTTTTACAGTGTCTAGTAAGGGATGCTCCAAAGGTTTTAGTTTTCTCAGTAATGCTTAAGAATACAAGATGCAGTATTTTTAGTTTTGCTTTTTAATAGGAATTAAGACAATCATAACATACAATAGAAATGCTGAGAAAGCAACTAATCTGATCCTGCAAGCCCATTCATAATAGAATAAAAACAAGAAAACTTTTGCTGATGTTGAATTTATTAAGTGTGCACAGTACCAGCTGAGCGTGACAGTGCAGATGACTGGCAAAATCCCATCCCTCTTTTCTCCTCCCACTTTCTCTATCAAAAAAAGGGGAGAAGGTAGATAGGAAGAGAAACTCCCAACCAGCACTACGTTCCTGCTTTATCAGAATGTTGCTGTTATCTTAACGTTTCACTAACTGCTTCAGTGCGGCAGACGTTTCCATGTACTGCTCAGAAGTAAGAACAGTGACGCAGAATAGTTTTCCTCAGGTTTGAGAGCTGCCGGATCTTGTTGCTTTAAGGCTTTAATGTAGCACCAATCAGACAGCTCTTCTGCTGATCTGCCGTAGTGGTCAATAAAGAAGGTAGCACAGGGACCAGCTCTACCGTTCAGGTCAGACTGTCTTTCAGTAGCAGTTAATGCATCAGGACGGCAGCCATAAGTTCTGGCTCTCAAATGCAGAGACAAAAAGAAATAAAAGTTTACAGTATGAGAATTCTACATTAAGTTTGTTAACAGATAGGCAGAAGGAAAGTTTAAAGTATGCTAATGATGCCATAGCCCAGTGTTGTTAATTGACACATTGGATATAAAACATGACTTCCCTCTAATAAGGTCCCACTTGGTACAAAAGGAAGAAAAAAAGATGACTAGAACAGCACAGCATTGATTTAGTGCACACTATAAACAAGACTGTTTCTGAAGCATCTCCTGTACATCAAGCTTGGGTTAACAGGAGATACTAATCTGTAAGAGCAAAGTCATTTAGAGATCTAGAAGAAAAAAAAATAAGCCTCATACCTATTTCAAAGGTTAAAGGGTTAACATTTGTCTAGCTGTTTTCTTTAGTAAACATTTGCAAGTCAAACATAAACCCACTGCTGAGAAATCTCTATTATCCAGAATCTATTATCTAACCAATCCTGATGCTTCAGTGCACAATGACTGAAGTTGGTTTTAATTCCTCAAAAAAAAAAAATTACCAGAAACAGCCTAAAACAAGACATATTCTACACAGCAGAACTACTCGATAAAGATTCAAAGACATTTCATAATAAAAAGGATGCAATTACGAGGTCCGAAAGTGATGAAGATGAAAGATACCTGGAACGGCACCACGTCTCCTACACCTTTTGTTTTCTGTGAGCAATAAAACACTGCAGACAAAACGTTTTGTGCTTAAACAGCCTCAAATCTGTTTTTCTAATATTAAGCACAAAGGAAAAACACTGACAGCAAGCGTGGTAAATAAATCCCTCCCTGGAGAACGAGAGCAGAAGGCAGGAGGGGGCTGACATGCATGCAGGAGAAAACTAAACACCATCTTTTTTTCTACCTGCACAAGTTGCCATTTGCTGCAGCAATCAGGAATCTCTTTTTCCCATTGATTTCAAAAGCTATGCTTCCAGAGAATTTCTCTCGAGTCATCTGTTGATACGCTTTAAGAGCACGCTGTCCGTATCAGTGGATCTCTAAGAGAAAAATCCATTTTCTTTCCTGTTCAGGTAAACATGTTTACAGCTCCTGCACAGACGCTGGGTGGTTCAGGCTCACATGTCACACACATGTCGTCAGCAGCAAGAAAAGCCCCTTTTTCTGATCGGCAACATTTTAAATAAGGTAAAGAGAGAAGCACTTTCCAAACTTACCTTTCGCAGAGCCAAATCATGAGGGAAATACAAATATTTAAACCAGTGCAAGAAATTACTAATGCGGTCGTGTAAACAGAAATACTCCTTATAAAACGCACACAGCAAAAATAAGAGCCCCCTCCCCCGAGTTCAAAGGGACCCAAGGAGCCCGCCAGCCCCAGACAGGCCACGGCATATGGGCGCTTCACGCCCAACGTGGTTGGGATCGCAGAGGAGGCACCAGCAGCGTCTCTGGTGCATTTCAGAGAGCGTCCGCTGCGCACAAAAACATCTCGGATCGCAGGCGAGAGCCTTCCTATCTGTGACCCTGCACAGGAAATGCCACATAAAACCCAAAATTGCCAAGGAAGGTTACAAAACCTCCTGCCGCACACCCCGTTACGCAGAGCCGCGACGACAACTCGACTACTTCTCTATTTTCCAGAAAATAAGTACGGAGTGGGTGTTCGGAGCGTTTATTCGCCCGGCTGCGTACCTTCAACACGCATCTTAAAGTAACACACGTACCCCCCCAAGAAATAAAAAAGAAAAGCCACAGCAACCCTTAAGTCTGAAATGTAAGCGTAATTCCTTATATAGACTGCAGCAGTGGTCACGTAGCGGAGAGTAGCGGGGGCCCCCGGCCGGGCCGCTGCCACCCCGCCCGAGCCGGGCAGGTACCGCGCCGGGGGGGCAAAAAGAGGCAGCAAACTTCGCCGCCCTTCGCTCGCCCCCCCCTCCGACCCGGCCCGGCTGCGGGGAGCGCGGGGCTGCGGCAGGAAGACGGCCCCCCCGCGGCAGCAACAGGGCCCCCCGGAAAAAGAAATGTAAATAAACCGAGGGCAGAGGGAAAAAAAAATAAAAAATTTAAAAAAAAAAAAAAAAAAAAAAAAGTGGAATTAAACGAACCGGCGCCGACCGGGGGCGAGGAGCCGCTCCGGGAGGGGGGACCGCGGGCAGCGCGGAGCACGGCACAGCGCCGGATCCCGCCCCCGCGCCGGGGTCCCGCAGGTACCAAGTTCGGAGTTGGCGCTGCCGGGGCCGGGCGCTCCCCCGGCGCTCGGCGCACCCCGCCCGGCGCGGCGCGGCGCTGCCCGGGGCCGCGGTCCCGCTGCGGGCAGGGCAGGCGGGAGGCAGCGCCTAACGGTCCCGGCCGGGCGGCACCGCTAGGCGGAGGAGGGCGCCAGGTAGCGGATATAACGGTGCGGGGCGAGCCCGCTGCCGGCGGAGAGCGGCGGGGAAATTACTTTCTACTTCTCCCCACCTCCCCCCCGCCGCGCTCCCGGCGGCCCGACCCGGCCCGCGGCCTCCGGCCCGCCCCGCCGCCCGCCGCCCCGCCGCTCACTGACCGTTGTTGCGCCTCGGGTTCGCCTGCTTCCTGCGCTTACACCTGGGGCCATCCGCCATGATCCTCTCGCTTGTGTCTAAATGCTCCAGTCACCTCCTCCCCCGCCCTCCCCCGCCCGCCCTCCCCTCCCCCCCGGACCTGGTTTACGACACTGGGTGGTTTTACTTTTACATCACCTTCCTACACCTAGTGCTCGGCCGGAACCTTGTTGCCAGGGGAGACCGGCGCTTTACGGCAGCGCGTTTGAACGGCGGCGGGGGAAAAGGCGCTGCCCCAGGTACCGGGCGCGGGGCCGGACGCGGCCCTCCGGCGTCGGGGGGCGCGGGACGGGCGGGGGGGGCGCCGGGGGCGGGCGGGGAGTCCCGCAGTCAGCGGCGCGGCACGAAGGGGAGCGGCGCCGGGAGCGGCCAGGTGCCGCCAGCGGAGCGGGGAGCGGTGCTGCCCGGCGCTGCCCGGCGCTGCCCGCAGCCCGGCGGGGCCCCGGGAAGCCCACGCGTCGTGGGCTGCGTCATTAGCTGTGGGACCGAGGGAGGTGATCCTGCCCCTCTGCTCTGCGCCGACGGACCTCACCTGCAGCACTGCGTCCGGATGTGGAAACCTCAGAACGGGAGGGACGTGGAGCTGATGGAGTGCATCCTGAGGAGGGCCACAAAAATGGAACACCTCTCCTACGAGGACAGGGTGGGAGAGCTGGGGCTGTGCAGCCTGGAGAAGAGAAGGCTGCGGGGAGAGCCGAGAGCGGCCTGTCAGTGTCTGCAGGGGGCTGTGAGAAAAAAGGGGACAGACTCTTTAGCGGGGTCTGCTGTGACAGGACAAGGGAAATGGTTTCAAACTAAAAGAGAGGAGATTTATACTGGATATAGGGAAAAAGCTTTTTACAGTAAGGCTGATGAGGCACTGGCACGGGGTGCACAGAGAGGTGGTGGATGCCTCGTCCCTGGAGGCACTCAAGGTCAGGCTGGACAGGGCTCTGAGCTCCTGATGGAGCTGTAGGTATCCCTGTTCACTGCAGGGGGGTTGGATCTGTTGGCCTTTAGGGGTCCCTTCCAACTTAAATAATTCTATGTTTCTATGTTTGTAGTATTTATTTCTTCTTCTGTTTCACTTGGGCAATAAAATAATTCAGTATGTTTCAATTTGTCACCAGGCTTTCTTATTTTCTTTCTTCTTATTATTATTATTCCTATCTTGCTACATTTACGATTCCATGCTTCTGGGGAATGCTTTTATCCAAACAAATTAACTTTTATTGAAAGCATTTCTCTTAGTGGGATCCCTTTAATAAGTGTTTGGTGCGCTGCTAAATGTGAGACCTCGGCTCTTTTGTGCTGCATTTCTGCACCGTGCCACCAATGTGTCCCCTCATCTCACAGAGGCAGCACAGCACATCTCCAGAACAGAGCCACTCAGTGCCGACAGCATGCAGCAGTGCCTGCATCTAGAGCTTCCTGCAGTTCAGCACAATCAGAAATGCCTGGATCAGAGGGGAGAGTAGGGTTGAAGAGGATAGAGTTAGGTCAGGATCCAAAGGGATTTTTTTCAAGTCATCAGTTTGAATATTCACTTGAAAGCTTGCTCTTCTTTACAGGGATAGGTGATTTGTTTACTGTCTTCCCAAATGTGATGGTATTTGTTTAGTGGTTTTGCATATCTGTCTCCAGCGGGTGTGAATTGGCTGTTAGCTTCACTACCTGGGAGTGCTTAAGGAAGGGCGACAAATCAAACAGTGCAGTGTTTCCAGGGACTAACAGAAGGTGCTTCAAAGGATTTGCCTTGGCATTAGGAGATCAGATCTCCAGATACAAGGGTGACTGAGAACTGCAGCATGAGACCTGAGATGAAAGTGAGAAGTCAGGAAAGTTTTCTTGAGAGAGTGAATAGCCAAGAGTAAGGCAGGATCTCGGTTCTGTCCTGCCCTAACAGCTCCGCATCTCTTGGCTCACTGTGTTCTTGAGCAGAAGATGGCCCTGCCTGTGGAACTGCCTGCAGAGGGGGTTTACATTGTTTCAGGATTCTTGAATGTTTTTATCATACTGTGGATGAATGTCACCAAAATGGCATGTACAAGTTTTTGTGCTAAGTTTCCAGTTCCTTAAAACTTGTCATGTTTTAGAAGGCAATTGCAAAACCAAAAAAAAAAAAACTTAATTGTATGTATACTGGTAGTCTGTAACCCTGTACTCTGCAAACACATGCAAAATTCCAGGTCCCTCTAATGTTCAAGTCACCTGTTTGAATTGTCTTCTGTCTCTCTTCACCTCTGTACAGGAACCCTTGTCTGTTCATTCGGAGCAAGCTGTACTTCCTGACAGTACGAGGAGGGAAGCGTCCTCCTGGTGCTTGCTGTTGCTCCTTCACACATGGCTGTAGTGTCAGTGGAACACAGGGCCCTGAGGTCTCTGAGCTGCTGGGAGAAATGACACCATGCTCAGCGCACCCTGAGAGCACAACTGAAGCTGGCAGGAACATTCCTACCTCTGTGCTGCCATAGCTGGGTAAATGAGGAAATAAAATCAAAGCAATCTCTGAATACTGTAGCTTTGATACCAAGGAGGTCTAGAAACTAAAAAACAGAGCACAGTGTTTTGTATCAAGTTATCAGTTATCGCAATCACTGGGGAAAGCTTTTCGTTCAGAGCTTGTAAATAGGTGTGTGGGTGGGTTGGTTGTGGCTTTTTTTTTAAACAAGAACAACAACATTTTGATATATTTAATGCCAAAACTGGGCACCTCACATCTTCCTATACAAAGTTTTCTTTATTTACTCTGCTAAGAAATATCACTAACTGTGATGCAGCCACTGGGAAAGACAGTGCTTTGGCCTAATAAGTTCTTCTAATTGTGGATGCAAATCCAGTAGTTAAAATTCCTGCTATTTCTGTAGAGTTCTGCAATATCTGAGCACATGGTAAGCATAATTTAAATTGTATATACACCCTGCAAGTAAGAACTAAGAGTCCTTTTTGTGGAGTACAGCTTTCAATCTGACTTCTCAGTCAGTGCAGGACTTAATTTATGCACTAGTTTGTAGTATAGAAGCAAAGCAGCATGTTTTCTGCATCCTTCTGGATGGTGCAGGCTTGGAAAGATATTTATTCATAGGAGGGGGTCTAAGGCAGTGGTTGTTCAGTTTGTCTCTGGCGACATAAGTGTGGTATGTTTCAGCTGCCTGAATAGGCATAATGTTGTTGAAATGTTAGGTCTGCTACACTTCACCTGAAATTTATTTGCATCATCTGAAGACAAAAGTTATCATAGCTCGAGAATTCTGCTGGAATATAGATGCTTGAAAACCACAGCATCTTGGAATATCATCAGCTGATGGTTATTACAAGCTGTTTTTGCCAACATAATGTAAACTGAATATATATTATTAAATAAAAACAATCAGTCCTCTGTTTGTATGCTTACTCCTTATTCATGTTTATGAAATAAAGTTTCCCATCCTATCCTGAGTATTCTGGATTCAATGGTGTTCACTTAGTTGAACCAATTTAGAATTACAATGGAAAATGACTCAGTGAACAGTTTCTTGTTTCATTTCTGGTTTGTGGAGATTTTTTTTTTTTTTTTCTGATTTATATCAGTTAAACTTTATTTTCACTTCCATATATTTTCTTGGAATTTCAGTTCCTAACATTTATTTTTTAATGGATTATATATATATATATATTTAATATGTTTTTCATTTTCTAAAGCAATTGTATTTGAAAGATTTACTAGAAAAATGACCCAGAAATGTGCAACTCAACTACAGCTAGCTGAAGAACTAATCCTGAACAAAAAGTGAATTTCAGAGATATCAACATGTGGTTTTAATGCCTTCCCAGATGGTCCCTTGATTTCTAGTTTTGCTTTCAAGTGAATCTAATACATTTTGAAGGTGTACAGTACAGGTTGGAGGCTAACCTGCTGGAGAAGCTCTGCAGAGAAGGACCTGGGGGTCCTGGTGGCCAACAGGTTGGCCATGAGCAGCAGTGCGCCCTGTGGCCAAGAAGGCCAGTCGGGTCCTGGAGTGACCACAGTTCTGTGGTTCTGTGATTCTGATAGCCCTGGATGTTATGCAGTCTCAAAAAAAGAACCCCAAAAAAACATTAAAGCCAACTTAAATTTGCACATTAATTTAAACTACAGTTTGTATATACTTATAATGAGAAATCATCTTTTTGTACTCTTCTCATCTTCTATTCTTGATTATTTCTATACCATATTTTATTTATTCATTTAAAGCTTGAAGCTATGACTACTAATAAATCATCCTGTCTTGCACAACTTGAAAAGACTGATCCTGCTTGAGAGATGTAAGGATGTAAGCTGCCACCAAACATCAGTGTGTATGCAGCTGTACACAGCTATAATGACTTGCATGCATGCGACTGACTTTTCAGAAATCATCCTTGTTCAGAAGTGTTTGTGAAGATCACAAAGGCCTTCAAGACCATTTTGTTTCTCTCACTCTCCTTCTGCTCTATTTGTTGCCTGCTGTTATTCTCTCATAAGCAATTAACCTGTGCTGTTACTTATGTCAGGTTGGTATGCTGTATAAAGTAAATGCACGAAAACAAATCTAGGGCCTCCAGGTTAATTTTCCTGTGCTAACATTAACTTCAGATGCTACTCTGTTTTAGAGCTTTCACACAATTAAATCATATTTCAGTAGAGGAAGAAATTTGGAAGGGCCGTTCCATACTTTTCATCCAAAAGGCACCTTGTGTGTGTTCTCCATGTAATGGAAATGCCAATTTGGGTACAAGTCTTAGATTTCAAGCAGTTGTGGTGATTTTTTTCATTTGCTTTTGAAGTACCTGGAACCTCAGATGAGAATGTCTCCTTCTGTGCTTCCTTTTCTACGACTAAATGCAGTAGCAAAATATTGTATCAAAATATTATTTTTGTTTTAAATTTGTGATTGATCAAATTACAGTTGTAGTGCAGTTGCATTACCCACTTTTATTAGGAGCACATTTTCCATTCATCTTTGTTTATGATGACGCTGCAGAAGTGTCCTTATCCATTATATTATCTAATTAAACACTAATGTGTTGTGAATATTCTTCCATATGGTTCACGTTTATTTCCTTCTGTAACGTGCTCTCTGCTTCTGATTTAGCTCTGCTCCCACCCCTCGTGCAGTTTGCTGCCTCACAGGTTTGTGCGATTGCTCATTTGGCTCTCGTGTAGAGTTATCTTCTTCATTTTGCTATCTGTACAGCTGGCTCACTCTGCCCTTTAAATCCCAAGTTAAACATTCGTTTCTTAATTATATTAGTGCATACTCTTCTCACATATATATATACACTTTTTTTTAAATGCATTGTAGTGTTGGATGCCATTCATTTGTTACGTCTTGTTTGTTGTTTGTTTTTTTCTCACAGCAAAGCATGCAGTACTTCTGCAGGGACTGTTTACCAATACATACAGGAAAGCTGTTGTTTTGGAGCTGTAATGGTTTTGGAGCTTGCAACATGGATTCTGAATATACAGAATTAACATAAAGGAAACCAAAAAAGAATATATAGTAAGTCTACTAAATTAAGCAAATAAATATAAGTAGAAGTCTAATTTTGCTTACTAGTTCTCAACAAATTGTCATTCAATACCGTAAGAAGAAATGCAGAGACTGTAGTAGTTTCTCTGTGAAGTGTGAGCTGAAGCATCGGTGAGCTCAGCTTAATGGGCCGATTCTCATATCTGGCAGTGTAAGGGTCAGTCTGGTAGATACAAACATATGGTGTTACTATGGAAAGTATTATAATTGAAAGTAAAATACACAGGTTAAATTTTTGGCACTTTAGAGCTGTGTAAAACCTAGTGTAAATATATCGGAGGTTAGTTTACTGGAGCTAGGAGTAGCATTTCAGTGCAAGGATGATCATGTGCTGATAAGGAATTGGAAAGCAATTATAGTTCTGTGTTATGCATATGAGGAATTTTTTTGTTTCAAAATCAAACACAGAAAAAGTAGTTCAGATCCATGCAAATAATTATGTTTTTTCCCTCTTGGAAATAAAAAGCTCAAAGGTTTTAAATGGGATCAAACTGAAAACGCTTTTTAACCCTAGTATGAAAAACTTAGAGCATCCAGAGATGGTCCTGTGGTTCCCAAAACCCCAGTGTTTTGAAAATTCCCTGTATCAAGCTCCTTCCTATTGGGAAGGTTTGAACGGAAATGTCTGTGGCAGGCAGTACCCTTTGTCACTGGGCCTGAGGTATTCTGAAGAACTCTTGTACACTCATATTGGTGATCTGACAGTGTAAGAGCAGGAAGGACAAGGACTGCGTCATCTCAAGGGAAGTACTATGAAATACCCTCTGCTCCTCTCACCCTTTAGGTGAATGTTCTGGTCTTAAGGCTATAAAATAATCTTTCTCCAGTTCAATGACTATTTTAAATTATGATATAGAAAACAAATAGCATTCATTGTCTTTAGGGAGGTGAATCAGCTTATGAGTGCTGATGATTCACCTTTCTTTGATGAGAGGATAGAATCAAACCTTGGGTTTTAATATTCTGGAGGAGCTCAGTGACTGCTGTGCTTCCAGATGAAAGATGAATTACTACCAGCATTTCCAAGGCATCTTCTGCATGCTCCAAACCAGGTGGGGACAGGTAGAGAACAGCCTAGCTTGAAGCTCTGCAGGTGCTCTGCAGGTTAGGTCAGGTGAAGAGCTAGGAAGGTGCAGGGATGACCAGAAGCATGTTTTCACATGTGTGGAGAATTAAACTGAAAGATCCTCGTAACAAGGATCACAGAGGAGCTGTAGGAAGACAGACACTCTCAGGACAGCCCAGTGAAGTGCCACAAAATTAATAAATGTACTGGAGCATCTCATGTGTGAGGAGAGTCTGAGAGAGCTGAGAATGTTCAGACTGGAGAAGAGGACGCTCAGGGGGGAGATTTTACCACTGTCCTTAAATACTGGAGGGGAGGATGCAAAGTGAATGGAGCCAGACTCTTCCAGTGGTGCCTAGAATCAGGACAAGAGACAATGGGCAAAGGAGCAAGAGGAACACCAGGAAGCACTTCTGTGCTGTGGGGGTGACAGAGCTCTGGCACAGGCTGCTTAGAGGATGTGGAGTCCCTCCTTGGAGACCTTCAGAAGCCACCTTTCCTGGCCCTGGGCCTGCTGCTCCAGGGCTGGAGTAGGGGTGGGGCCAGATGGACACAGAGGTGCAACCCTAACTCAGCCCTTTTGTGGTTCTGTGGTCACACAGAGAGCTTTGGATTTAGGTGCTTGCAAGATCTCGCTTTTGACCATTGTTTTGCAAATACAAAAGCTGTCTGGAGTAATAAAATTTTTTTTTATTGTGTCTTTTAAGTAATTTTATTTCTATTTAAAAGATTAATTACCTGTAGCTAATTTCAATAGCTGTTGGTAGACATTCATTGAAGCAGTTGATTTCTGCAGGTGATGACTAATTCACATATAGTATTGACAGTAGGTGATCATGTGTGGGACTTACCTGCCTCCAGCTCAGATGTAAAGCCTGCTGCAATCACTTCAGTCTGCCTCTGGGGCTGGTGGGGATCTTGTCAGCAGAGCATGAGGTGCCTACATCTGCATACCTTGCAGGCATCTCACGTAGGTTCTCCTGTTCTTGACATCAGTCCAGTCATTGTGATGGGTTTTCCTGCCATGACATTATTGAGGGTTATGGAGATGACTTCATCTCTCTGTGTAATGAAGCTAGTTCCAACTTTTACTCTCAGTGTTGTAGGGTGAAAAGTCCTGCAATTTGTTGCCTTGCTTGCAACTAGTGTCATTTTTGCATAGTATCTTTAAATGCTGTTCCCTGATAAGGCCATATACCTGTGGATTTTTATCTTGTGTCATGTATCACACAACACCAAAGGCAACAAAAGCATTTGTTATAACTTTAAAAATGTTCGTTTTTAATATTTGCAATCCATTCAAGTCTTTATGAAACGTTTGGACAATCTTTGCAAAGAGAGGTTAACTGTGAAAACCTTTTCCCACAAAGATGTATAATTAAAAACTTGATGTTTGTTCCTGCAGCCAGATGTGCTTGTATTTTGGATTCATCGTTGTAGCATCTTGACAAGGAGGCTAGAAGAGATTTGCTTGGCTGTTATTAATAATGCTACTTCAGTGCCATGCCATTTATTCTGAATAATGACAAGAATTTCATGGGATTAATTGCCAATTTTACAAGCAAGATTAATTGGCAAAATAAAAAAGCTCTTCACTACAATAGCACTCTTCACCTTGAATGCAGCACTACTATACTTGTGTGTTTAACCTTAGACTGTTTTATCTTTAGTTGATGATTGTTTTGTAAAGCCTGTTCTGCTCCTAAATAGTATTTATAAGTTCTCTGGCATTTTTAGTCTTAACATTGTTGGTTGCTTAAACGTTACTTCCAGAAGGTCTGAAAAATATTTGCAACTACTGTTAATTCATCTGGTGTGAAAAAACAACTTACAGGCAACTGTTTTTCAGAGTTTGTTCTGAGGCATTTTAACTACAATGTAGTCTCAGTCTGAGTCAATCAGAATCAGTCACATTTTCTCTTTAATGGAGATGCACTACATTAGTTTTGCAGTCTCTGAAAATGCATCTGAAGGACATAAACATTGCTTGGGTCTCCATTCTTCCCAAAAAGATGCATACTGATATGAATCCTAAGCAAACATTTTTGTTGTTCTGTTCACAGTCACTTTCCTGTGCTATAGTGATGGATTACCTGCTCTGTTGACTTGGGCAAGACTGGAGAATAAAAAAAACCAGGCAAACTTGTCCACTGCTGTGACAACCTAGCCTGAAGTGCCAAGTTCTGCAAACAGGCCATTCTTCATGAGCAGAAGAAAATACTAAATGGTACCCAGCCAGCCAGGGATCACCAAATGCGCCAGAGCAAAACCCATGGTTGAACTGAAAAGGGAGCGTTATGTAAGTTCTGCTGTGCATTCTTCTTCTTGCTGCTCACTGATGTTTCTCATGTCCTACCATACAAAAGCTCAGAGTGCCTTTCCTGCACTGGCTTTTCCTGTATTTCAGGGCATTAAATAATACGCAGAGCAATTTCACATAACATTTGTAGCGTATATCTGTCATTACATAGCATACGCTTGTATACACACACATGCATAAAGCTATTTTTAAAGATTAGGAAGGTCACAAAGTCATGGGCTTGGCCTAGATTCCTGATCCCTTGGTTATGCCTGTGGCTGTCCCCTCATCCCTCCCCAGGAGATTGCTGCTGCTGTGGCTGCTGTCAGATCCCCGTGTGTCAGCAAACTGCAAGCAGCAGTGGCTCAGCTAAGAAGTACTGTGCTGGACCAGCAGCTGCGGGCTCAGTCTTTCTCCCATTTATTTAAAGGGACTTAAGAGGTTACCATGTCCAGTTGTACGACCAGCGTTATTCTCAGCTGCTACAGCTATATCCAACATGGATGTCAGCTTCACAGAAAGGAAATATTAATGATTCTCTTTTCAGTCAGTTCCAATTCGTAATCATGATAACATTACCCCATCTCATTCTGTGCTTTGAGAAGATGTGTACTCAGTGATTTATTAGTTTTTCTTTCCTCTTTATTCAAAATAGTTCCTAAATCCAAGCCATACAGTTTATGCAAATCCCTATTATGAAGTCAACAAAGAATTTCCATTGCAGACAGTTTCAGTTGGATGTTTAAGTTTGACTTAATTTTTTGCTTAATTGACATACATTATATAGAATGTCATATATCATGTCAGACTCATCAGAGCTGGCTTCCCAAATGCTTTGAGACACTAACAAAGATCACAACACGGGAAATTCCTTAACCAAGAAAAGTATTTGAGGATTCATTTGGACTTTCTTGTTCCAATAGCATCTACTAAAAATACATTTACCAGCTAGGAGTAGAAATCTCTGCTTCTGTGGGTGTGATATGGGGAGATAGGTAACAAGTACTCCAAGTACTTTTTATTCCACTTTCCTTCTGGGAAAAGATTCAGATTTCTTCAAGCCTTTTGCTCTTCCCCATCAGAATCTTCACAAACTCATCAGAAAGTTCTTTCTCTCTCAATTAAAAGAATGTCAAAGATGCTTAATTTCCCCTTTGCAGTCCTACTCACATCTAAATCTGCATTTGACATTTCATGCTACGCCCAGTTCCAACAGATGTAGGCTCTGCATCCGTACAATTAGGTACTGTGTTAAGTGATATCTAATTATAGGAGATGTCTCCTTGAGCCATATGGCTTTCCCTGTATTTTCCTAGATGGTGTATGAAAGGTAAATGTGCAGTTTTGTTACAGAGATCCACCATTTTTGAGAAGTCATGGGAAGGGTCATGCTTCTCTGAGGGATCCAGTGCTCCTTGGACAGTGTGGCCAGACCATATAGAACACTTTCTCCCAGCTGTAAATATGAGCTCAAAAGGAAAACATAGGGATTAATTAATATCTGGACATTGATCTGGAGCCTGAGAATTTATGTTACAGGATGAAACGCTGCAATCATTTCTGTATCTTTCCCATTTAGAAACAGTACTTTTCAATTTTTGAATTAGTATTCATTTCACTGCAAGAGACCTCTCTTCTGTTACCTGGCCACCTGGGAACCTTTTATAAGAAAAAACATCATTCCAGTATTAGAAGGAATATTTCAACTTGCCATATTTAATCAGGACATATTGAAGCAAGATGCGAAGTAGTATCAGCTAAAAGCTAAACTGTCTTAGATGCTAAGTGAGTGTAACCTTCCTGTCTGAAGAGATCCAAAGAGTTTAATAAATTACTGGCTTAGTGCTATGCACAAAATAATGAGTAGCAATTTAACAATAAAAGAATTAAACATTAAACACAGTAAGAATAACCCACAAAGCTTAAGATCGGTTAAGATATGTATTAAAATATCTTAATATCTTAAGGGTTAAGGTTCGTGCAGAAGGGTGTCAGGTTTGTTTGCATGCCTCCCCCGTTTGGGATTAGATCACATTCCCCAAGGCTGGAGGCAATCTCCTTGTTATCATTTTCCATTATGAAATTTTCAGTGCTGCTCTGTCAGGCTGCAACCACGTCTTTACTGTGCAGCAGACATGCAGCCGGCTGTCAGCCGCTCTGCGTGCAAACAGCTCAGCCATCACTGGGAGCATTGCCTGCTCACCCAGTGGTGCTGTTATCCATCCGATCCTGGAGCAGGAATTTGCAGGGGCACCTAAGGAGGAGGAAGACGAGGCTGTTCCCTGACAGCTCTCTGAAATGGACTCAGGGTGTGTTTGGCCAGTGCTTCACTACATTTTGCTGAGTCAAGTCGGCATTAAAGTGAATACAAGTTCTCCCCTGGGAGTCCTGACTACAGCTGAGGATGTGAGGAAGTTAAGGAGGGAAGCTTTCAGAGCCTTGGAGTACTTTCAGAGCCTTTTTTTTTTTTTCTTTCTTTCTTTTTAATACTCAGGAAAAAATGAAAGGCAAGACCCATGATCCATGGTACCTGAAAACTGTTCTTACACCCATATGCATCTTCACTCCAGTTGATTTCATCTGGAGGATCCCTACTGGAGAAGGAATTTTGGGGTGACTTGTTATCCACTACCCAATCTACCCAGAGCTGTCCGTAGTAGGCATTACTATGAAACTTGCCAGCATCAGTGCTGTGTCTCTTCCAGACCCAGCTATTACTGAGCAGCCTCCATTTTTCCATGCTTGAATTGGTTGTACATGGCATCTGGCAGGTTTCTTTCAGTGCATTTGGTATTTAGTAGTATTCTGTATCATTACGAGAGTGTTTCAGTGCAACTTGGTGGGAGTAATCTGTATGTAGTTCATTCATCTCAGGGCAGTAGAAAGCAAAATGTTTCTTGGAGGGACAGAGCTGAAAGGAATCTGTCCCCCGAAGCTCAGTGCAGGCAGTTCTGCAGTGCAGATGGAAGGATGGGTGCTGGAAGGCAATGTCAGGGGTACAGCCTGCAGAGCTGCTTGTAAAAAGACACGCAAAAAAAAACCCAACAAGACAATGAAAACGTGCTCTGGGGAAGAAGTCCAGCGAATGAACTGTTGGCAAAGCTCTGGCTGAGAATAGTCTTCAATGGCAACACTGTAGCTGCCTTCTAGTGTCTCATTCCTAACTCCAGGGACTTAACGTGGGAGCCTCAGCGACCCCTCTATTACCTGCACGGCGCAGATCGGAGAAATGACCCATTACCGTGCTTTCGAGCAGAACAAAGCCGCTAGATCCGACTGGAAGCCCTGCAGAGGCACCAGGAGATGGATAGGGATGCTCCTCCATCAGGAAGAGCCTCGGGGCAGGACGGGGAGGAAAGGTCAGACTTCAGTCAATGTTAGTGCCTTGAGAGCCCTTGGTTGGTTTTGCTTTGCTTTGTTCCTCTATCACTTTAAATATCTTTCATTTATCTACCTAAGTGGCCTAGAATGAAGTGTTTCGACATAATGAAGCACAGCTATAGAACAAGAGGAGTTCGAACTATTTTAACTGGTAATCATCCCCAGAATTTCCAAGTAAAAATCTTTTGTATACAGTTAGAAAGAAAAAAAAAAAAAAAAAGACAATACTATCTGTGGTGACATCAGTGAGATTCTCCAGAAAATTCTCTGAAAATGAGCCTTGCCCTGAATCTGTTGAAGAGAAGGTCCAGCAGAGCACGATCTCCGCTTTCTGTCCCAAGCTGGCTTGCTTTCAGCCATTTTTTACACTTCATTTTTTGCCCGTCCTTTTCAGTTATAACTAATCTCCCTGGGTGGTGATTCCAGCACTGCTGCAGAACCCATCGTACTGCACATGCCATAATAAAAATATGACACAACAACTTATATTTAACAAGGAAAAGAGGAATAGAAAATGGTACGTCTGCACAATGAATAGAATAGAGCACTGACTTGGTATTTCCTGACTCCAGCGGTCCCTCCAAAATAAGAATGCATTAATAGAATTACACTTAGCTTTCTGCTTTTAAAAGGAAAATATTTGAAAGCAGTCTTTTCATCTTCCAAGTTCTTTTGGCTCTGTATGTGAGATAGTGGAAATAACACAGGGCTGTGTAACCACAGCAAACAAGTGGGGTGGGAATTCTGTAGCTGCTCGCTGGCCCGGCAGGGAAGAGCAGCCTGGATTTTGGATTTAGGAGGTGGAATTTTTCCCCCCCCCTAAACTCCATTCATTTCTATGGATGAAAATAAACGTATTCTGTTGTGGGCAGAACTGGTGGTGACCTACAATTAAGGATGTCTGATATTTCCATTACAAGAGGCAGCTTTTAGTTGGCTATAATTTCAGCTGGTGATTGTTTTAACTGTTTAGGCAGAAGATTTCTTCTCTGGACATCTCTTGCAATCTGATTTTTGGGGGAGAACTACAGTAGAGAACGAGTGACAAATTTGAGTAATAGTTCACCAATGTCTATAAGGCAACTAAGCAAAAAGACATTGTGAACATATACAGAAGCTCTGAACATCTTGCTTAAAATTTGGCAATGTCACCCGCCTATTGGGATGTTTCTTCTTTCTGTGAAAAATCTCAGCTGATACACTGGCAGTAGAAATTTGTTAAAATTTAGCACATGAATGTGTAAAAAATAAAAGTCACCAATTCTGAGCATGCTCCAAAGCAGGGACAGAATTAGCCTGCTGAGGAACACTTGATTGATCCACCAGCAAAAATGCTGAAAGGCAGCAGAAATATGTGCATATTTAACCTCCCAGCAATTTTAACTTTAGTGGGGCTTAGCTGATGGAATGTGTAAAGTTATTTTGCTTCCTTGTTTTACGAGTAAAATTCCCTAATATAGACAAGATTTCAGAGGTGCAGACTTCTCTCTCTTATAAATGAACTTGGTCCTTAACATCACTGTAAAAACAGAAATTGGGCTGACTCACCACCTCCTTCCTAGGTGTTTTTCCAGAAAGCACTACCAAATGCTCTTTGGGTTCTGGAGTTTTTAACCATATCTATAAAAAAATCTATGATGTGTAAAGATGATGATATTTTTGGAACTATGCCAGTGGAGATCAATTGTTATCTGTATATTTCTCTCTGTCTTAACTCCATTCTCCATCAGATCTGAGTTCAGTACGTAACACTCAGTAGGGCTGTTACTGGTGTGCTGCTGCGAGAGACCCTGGTTCTGACTCTTCTTCAGAGCTCTACCATACCAAAAATCCCCTCTGCTCTCACTTGGGCACACATCCTCCTTTTGCTGTCATCGCTATAATCTTGTAATAAAAAAGGGGTAGATTCCATGCTGCTACTGTTTAATGACCTTATTATTATTTGCAGGAAAAGTGGCAACCTTCTTTCCATGCAAAGAGAGCAACTGTGGCTGTTCGCCCTTGCGGGTTGCTCTGTAGGGCAGTCACTGCTGGCACTGCTCCTGTGTGAGTGTTTGGAGATAGGTTCACAAACCAGCAGGTTACAAATGAGAAAAGCTACTGCGTGATGGAGAGCCTAACAGAATCGTTGGAAGTACAACTGGAGAGTTTGGTGGTGTGGGGTCAGGCCCTGGAGGTGTTGCCTTCTATTAACTGCATGCTCAGCAAGCCTTCTCGTGTGTGAGATCAGGGCAAGCACATGTCCTCAAGGCCCCTTGGACCTAGAGAGCATGGAGGGAACACATAATATCACTTGGTCGTGAGTGCTGCAAGCTGGGAGCCTGGACACTGCACAGCCTCAAAGCCTTTTGGAAGCCTTTGATAAAGTTAGTCTGCTGCAAAGACAGTGAATATTCAGCTGGTTTGCCATGCGTTGAAACCATTCCTCCCATGTAAGATACAAATAATTAAAAAATGTGAAGTATGGCTTTTTAACACATTTCTGCAAAGTCCTATTTGTTTACAGACTAAAGATATATTACTGATGTTCAGTAACTGAAAATCACAGAGGCCATGGTGCTTTTGTGTTCTAACAGCTAAGTAAAGGTTTTTGTCTACCACTTGTGTTTATCTACCTACTACACATCCTATTATTTGGGTTAAAGGGAAAAAAATGTGCTGGCATGATTTCTTCCATCTGTTCCATAACCTCTGATATTGAGCTTCTAAAAAGCTCAAAGCAGACTAAACAGGTCGTAGTCAAAACAGTAAGGTTGCTTTTCATACACTCTTAAAATCAGATGTTTTAATTATATCTTTTAGCTCATTTTCTAATTAGAAGACAGGTTCACAATGTGGTATCTATCTTCTTCCATTTGAATCAATAAACAGAGAAGTCATGAGAAAGGGACCTCTTCTCTTCAGGGAGCCTTTTCTTGTTAATGTTGACTCAGGTTGTTCGTGCTTATTCTAGTCTCTTTTCCTCTTCTGCCCACTTCCCACTCTTTTCTCTTTCAGTTCCCCCTCCTGTTTCCCAGATATGCTGCTGTACACATAGTGTGTATACATTTGTTCTGTATATTTACCTGCTGTGTTGTGAAGGCATTGCATTCTTCAGCCTGCACTGGGAACTCAACTTTCTAACCAGGCCAAGTGTGCTTTTTTACTCTACAGAGATTTCAAGCATGAATTTCCTGAAAGAGAAACAACAGAAACACTTTGGTTACAAGTAGCGCAGGCTGCACTTTCAAGTAACTGTGAGATCTGTTTGAAATGTTGGGGAGGGTTTGCCTTCAGCCCTAAAATCACGGAGCTGGCTGAGAAGTCTGTACTTTACATGTTTGCAACTTGCTGAAATTGAGATCAGCTACCAAATAGTCACATTACTCTGGCTTGCTCTCTGCTTTGGACAGTAAAATTGTTTTATATGGCTTTTATGGTTAGTTGGGTATCACTGCTGCAAAGACCACATGCACATTTACCTTTATTTTGGTTAGCTGTCTGTGCAAAGACTTTTAGATGTGACACCCTGATTAGTTTCTTCCTTGCTGAAAAGACCGCTGTAAATTTCAGTAAGGAAACAGAAAAGTCCCTCATGATTTTTTAAGGAACCTTTTAAAACAATAATTTGAGGATGTACGATCTAAAGTGAATTGCATTAGATACTGGGTTATTTTGAAATAAAAAAGACTGTCCATAAACATAGGTTTGCTTTTGTGTCTTCAAGCTTTCTACTGCATGCTAACAAACTCAGAAAATCATCAGAAACTCAAAAGCAGCCAAACGCTGTGGGGTCCATTGGCTGCAATTCCTGCTCATGCAGGATATATTGGGTTCCTACAGACTGCAGACACATCTTGCTTGTACTGTATATTGCTCCTGTGCACCAGCTGTGAAAGGCTTCTCCTGTGATCTAGAACTAAATAACAATTAGTTGAAACAAATACCATAAAAGGGTGTTTTCAAATTTGGGGGACATTACCTGTCTTCAAATCTCCTCACTGTACCTCCATTAAAGTAATGATCATGACCCAAATACAGACCGTCCTTTTCAAAGCCAGATGTGATACATTACGTAATACCTTTTTAGGGTGATTGCTGGAGCTTGGAGTAAAGGAAAACGAACGTATTGCAGATATTGTTCCAAAGAGCAAATGTCAGAAAAAATGTTATAAAACTCAAAGCCTTGAGCAAAAATTCTACCAAATAGAACTTGCACTGAGCCCTGCCTGCATACAGACTGAGATCTCCATCAAGGTACAAGCCAGCCACAGGCTCTGGAGATTACAGTTAAAACAAGAGCCCAAATGCACATCCCTCCATCAGCACGCTCCACAGATACAAAGCACCGTAACTCCTAAAAGCTCCTTCCTTCAGGCACAACACATTTCTGAGTAGTTAAATGTACCACAGTAGAAATCTTCTCCATATGCTTTTCAAAACACTATTAAATAAAAACCATCCAAGCAAGCAGTTGTTGATACGTATGTGCAACAGGCTTCCCAGAAATTCTTTGTAAATAGGACATCAATGTTTTCCACTGTGCGCGGGGAGGAAATCTGCTGAGTTCAGAGCGCTGTAATCAAATCCACATTGCAAAGTCACAAATAAAGAAACAAAGGACAGCCCCTGCCTGTTATTTTTGTTGTGGACGCTTCATTTTCTCTGCTGGTTGGATCTCCCGCTCCCAGCACCTACCTGCCCCATGCCTCCCTCGGGTACTTCTCTGCCCACTCATGACAGCCAGCGCTGGGACAGCATGCTTCTGTCTGAAGCTCTGCACAGTAGGGATTACACACAGAGGGTTCTGGGAGACAGTGTCCATACAGTGCACAGGGACACCAGGAGGAAGACTCGGAGCACCTCCTTTAAGTGTCTAAACGTGTAAAGGGGGCATATCCCTGTAGTCACTGAGCTCAGTAGGCTTGGGACATGTTTCTTCTTTTTCAAACCTGCTTCCTCCTAGAAAAGATTCTTTTCCTTCTCAGGCATTCTGTAGCAAGAGCAAAAATAGGAAGCCAATTACGCTGGCCTCCTTGCAGGGAAGTGAGAGCGGGTGAGGACATGGGGCGCTGCACCGCAGCTCTGCCCTGGGCACAACCTGTGCAGGAACTTGCAGTCCCCGATGAAAAACATGACCTTTAGTGATGTGTTTGTTCTGGGAAGCAAAGGGAGACCAGCAGAAATCTGCAGGAGCAGCAGGAAAGGCTGAATCCGAGCTTCCTCTGTTCCTGATGGGTTAAGGCTTGGGGTGCTTCTATTTGATGCACTTTTTGCCACCACCCCTTAGACCCATGATGCAGGAGAGGGTACGTGGTCTCTCCTAAATCCATTTAAGAAAAACCTGCTTCCCATTGGAAGTGGGGCTTGATAGAAAATGGGAAGAATTCATAGGCTATGAGAGTACCCCCACAGCTTTGGACATGCTGTAGGACAGAAGACTGGCTTTATTTAGCAGGCTCTTAATCTCATAAAGCAAGACACTCATAATAGAAACTGCTTAACATCGCAGTCTTCCTCTGCACCTATCCCAATTTGACTCTGTCTGAATGTGGCAGACACAGATGACTAAAGGATTTCAGGTGAGGTGCATAGGGCCTTGTAGAAAGGTCCTAATTCTTCCTTTTCTTTGTCAACATTTTATTGTCCCCGTGATCATTTTTGTCATTTATAGGATCACACTATCTGGTGGGCTACAGTAATCCTGCCATCAATCAATGCACTGGTGTTCATCTCCTTCCTCTGTTGTTTCCTCTTCCTCCTTGTTGTTGCTCAAAGATCCTAATCTCACACTTATTACTGGTAAGTTCCAGCTCATTTCCATTTCTTTGCTCACTTTGAAAAGACATGCTATCCTGATAATGAAATGAGGATAAAGTCTTATCCTCATTAATATCTTCTTGGAACTGTTCTTTTACATAAAATAATAATGTAAAACTCAAAATAGAATTAGGAAAATGTTGAGAATTTGGTTGCTTTGTTTTATTTATTTTATTTTATTTTATTTTGAGGGAGTTGCATCAATTCACATAATGTGAGATAGTGTGTGTCTGTACACTGCACTGGGGCTTGTAGGCTCGTGAAGCCAGCAATCTGAACAGGGTCTGCAGCTCACAGGAAGTTACTGTTGTTTCTTCATGCAATCAGTTCAACTGTACAATGCACAGTCCTCAAAAATGGAGCTTCCCAATGTCTGTAGTGATGTGCCTTATCCTAATCTTTACCTGCAGAGTATCAGAGGAATACCTATCTCTAGATGGAGTGAATGTAAACAGATGTAACTCTCAGCCTAAGTTAGCAAACTTTCCAATTTCTGGAAGTAAACTGAGAGAATATAATTTCCTCATCCTCTTCCCAAGAAAACATTTTAAGAAATCACAGGTGGAGGATTTGTAATTTCAGGGGGCAGCAAGTCTCTCTCTGGTCCTGCTGCAGAAACAAGGGATTGGCGAGTCCTGCAAAGGTGCTTTTGGCAAAGCAGCAGAGGTTCCGTAGTAGCAGAAATACAAATAAAGGCGAAAGGCAAATGTCTGAGGATGAGTCAGCCAGGAGGTGAATGCATTTTCTCCTAAGTGGGCTGTTCTGTAGATCACACTGAGACTTAGAAACCAAGATAAGGCTACAGGTTCTGCGCTTGAACTTTTTACTGATCTGTGATTAATTGCTGGAGAATGACATCAGAAATGTCCCTGCTCTTTTCCTCCTTTCTTTTTTTTTTTTTTTTTTTTAGCTTCTATTTCTTTAGCTTTCTGTTCTCATGCCTTCTCCCTTTTTCATTTTTTCCCCCTCTAATTAAATAAAAAGGACTGCACATTCTGGGCTGCCACCCCCCATATATAGCTTTTCACCAGCATTTCCAGATGCAGAAATGATTTTAACTGGCAGTTTGCAATTAAATAAAGACGGAAGGTCTGTAAGTTCCATCTGCATATCTGCATTTCTTTCATGTGCTTTTGCTTTGCACTTTGCTGTGTAAAATCAAGACTTGTTCCATGTGCACACACAGACATTTCTGCTTCGGGAGCCATCAGATCAGTGTTATTCAGGCTGCAGTGAGTCAGGAAAGCTGTGCTGACAGGGCAGTATCACTCAGGAGAGCGACCTTCTTTCCTGACTGGGAAAATCTGAGCGTAATGTGCTGCTAAATGAGATGAACCCCAAAGGATTTAACACAAAATCGTGCGTTTTTTTTTTTTTCCCTTCCCTGATTTCTCTTAGGGCAAAGCTCTACAGGTAGGATTACTCTTCTTTTTCCTTCTTTCTTTCTTTTTCTTTTCCCCAACCGCTTCTAAATTAGGCAAGGCTGCCGGCACGGCCGCAGCGGCGCGGCCTGCACAGCGCTTCCCGCCAGGCCCGTGCCGTGCCGGGTCCTCCAGCTCGGCGGCCCGGCGCGTCGCCGCAGGCCGGGGGGTGCAGGCCGCGCCCCGCCTCCCTCTGCATTGCCCGGGGTGTGCCGGCAGCCGCCGCTCCCGCTCCTGTCCCCGTGTGGAGGGGCGGCCCGGACTGACGTTGGACGGAGCGCTGAAGTGGGACAGCTTGGCGCGGGGCTGCGCTGACACAGACCTCGCTGCAGCCTGGCTGCAACGCGCGCTCACTGCCCTGAGTATCGGCGCTGCTCGCTGTTACGAAGTTAGAGCCCGAAATAAAATACTGCTTCCCAGAGCAGTAAGAAATATTTGAACGCTTCGGGCATTCGGTCTGTGATTCAGAGATTTATTTATAAAACTGTTGATTTTGGGACACTAAAGCATTGCATTTAAGCTGCAGAAGTGAGTCATGTTTGTGGGAGGTAATTACTGCCAGAACACACAACCAACTTTTGTAGGTTTCTTTGTAAAATGTCCACTTCTGATCTGCAACTACTAAAAATAAGAAGCTTTGCTGGATTTCAGCTTAAGTTATCTTTATGGGGTTATGTGGCTTTATAAGTAAACTCTGTTTTTCTGACATGATAAAACAAATGACTTACATGCCTGGGAATTTATTTGAGTGTTTTATGTGGGCTGTTCTGAGCAGGTAACTTTTTCAGCTCGTGAAGAACCAAAGAGACTGTTGTAATACTGAAAGGAAATTTGTTTGTCAGGGGAATGATAGTAGCCAGCATCTACAAACAATGTTTGTTCACCATAAAGATCTTTGTATTTCTTGTTTTATCCTCAAACACAATAATTTATTCTGCTTTGAGCAGGTCCTGGGAGCTGAGGGAGCTCCAGATGTCGAACACCTGCAGGAATTACATGCAAGGAACTTTCTTCGTTATCCCTCGGTCATGACTGTGGAATTTGAGTTTATTTAACTTGTGGTCACTTAGCAGCACTCCCCACCAGAGATGAGTCAGATGCAATGCCACCTCTCCCAAGGGAATCTGCTGCAGTTGGGATTAGAAAATTAATGTCATCCATCTTGGCACATAAAGCTTAGAACATTTTTTTCCCATGCCATTAAGGGAGAATATAAGGAGCACCATTAGTCCCAGCGGCCTTTCACCGGAAGTGGAGGTGCTGTCCAGAATTCAAACCACAGGCCTCTGACTATCTCCTTCCTCTCCAAAATTTGCAGTTACAGGAGAGGCCTTCCTTTAAAAGCTGCAATTACCTGTGTTGGTAACGTGCCAGCAGTCAGCAGGCTCTGCAGCAGCTCCTGGGAATCTCATGACTGACCACATCTGGAAGCCTTCCTTCTGACTTCCGCACTCCCACGCAGCAGTCAAGCTCCCACGAGGTGCATGGCCTCAGTGTGGGGCAGCAGGCAGAGATGGGAAGGTGGACACTTGCCACCCAAAGCTTTATAAGGAAGAGAACTAAATACTATTACCCTTTGCCTCTTTGAGCACTCCCACCTGATTCCCAGGATTCTCTCACAGCAAGTGCTTTGTTTATTTTTCTTGTTCTTTCTTCTTGCTGTTGTTGTTGTTTTGTTTGTTTGTTTTCTCTTTGCTTGGATCAAATTTTAGTTACCAGCTTATTCTGGATAAACATGCTTGGCCATGCTTATTGATTGACCTCCCCTTCAGCAGCACTGGCTGATAAAGGACTATCAAAGGAGCTCCCATGCAGTGGGGATGCCACCAGGACATGCTCCTATAGGAAGAGGGCTGAGTGCCCACTCGGTGCATCCCGCCCTCCTGTGGGATGTCACCGGGGGCTGGCTTTCACCAGCACTGAATGGGCTTGGGTACAGTGTCCATTAACTTACAAATTGCTTCTTAGAGTTGTGTCAGTACTAATGTTACAGTAGAATAGGGTTGGAAGAAAAATTGTGTTTTGTCTTGAATTAATTGTGCAGGAAATAGGGATTATGATTTCAGTCTGATTCATGGCCTGCTCATGCTGCTGTCTTCGATTGAGGAGCAAAGGTTCCCAAACTTGAGAGAAAGAGATAAAACCTGGTCCTAAGTATGTATATGACAAGATGCTTTGTCGGCAAAATTCTTCCTAAAATCAAACTTATTTTTGTATGTCAGGTTAATGGAAGATGAGCACAAATCTTTTCTTCCGATGGTTTCTTTGGTGGCTTTAAAACGGGAGCAGTTGCATCCTCCCGAAAATGCAGTTATGGCTCTGATATTGGAAAACTGTTTCACAATATGTCCGCAAGTTATGAATATCATTTCGCAAACAGTCACTATAAAAACATCTTAAAGATAAAGCTAAGCATTGATATTTATCTTTCCACATACATCTTAAAGCTTTCAGTGTCTATGCTAGATGGTGGCTTAACCAAATGATCCTTACCATACTATTGGCAAAGCAGTTCAATTGCTGTGTTTCTTAGAAATTAGTGTATTTTGGATTCAGGATTCACATATGATAAAGTGAAACACACTTTCACCAAGCCTAAATATTCCGTAGATGTAATTTAACTTAGTAAGCTCAAATCAGATAATCTTTGCCAATAGTTTTAAAAATTCCTGATTTTAGAAGCTAAGATTGCCTGTGTCAAAGAGAGGTCTCTGTTAAAGGCCTCCAGCTGACCTGGCAATCCCTGCTCAGGCTCAGGCTATGCCATGAGCTGAAGGACATGAGGCAGTTGAAGGACTGAATGCTTGTTGAAGCTGGTCTGCTTTTCTGACTCATGACTTCTGCAGCAGTGAAAGAACACTGGATTCTGCTTGCCTAGAGTTGAGTTCACATAATTGCAAAATATTCCCTGAACCAAATCCTGACAGAAACAAGCATTTCCCTGGAAAAAAAACCAAGAACACAAACCATATATCCCAGTTGCACCTTGTACCACATTGGCAGTTCTGCTGTTATTTCACTAGAGAGAGAAATTCAAGGGAAGAGAATCACATTTAAATTGTTTACACTTCTTGAGTCCACTGCAAGTCCCATTAAATTAAGTTTCTGCTGTATAGTTACTTGATCTTTCTGAGGTATCACAGTTGTTCCAGCACAAACAAACAAGGGGCATTTGTTGCTGTTGCTGTGTTGCTAGGATTGATCACCAGTGGCTAGGCCAAACACAGTTTTTGGTTGATATTTGTTGAAATCCCAGCTCCATGTCCCGTCTGAAACAAGGGATGCTGAGCCATCCCAGCAGAGTGTCTGGGACTGCTGCTGCAAGATAAAACAGATGAAGGCAGATGAAAGGTATAATCCTTCTGGGAGGGCTCAGTTAGCAGCAAGGAGGGTTTGGATAGAGGGCCTAAAGGATTTGCCAAGTAAATGCTGCCCAGCTCCCACTCTAATTATTAAACTAAGCTTCCTCCCCTGTCCCACTGTTTTTAGGCAGTTAGTTGGTGCAGCCTCCTCTAAGTGCCACAAGTAAAAACTTCTTTGTGGCATGCCTCCTTTTCTAACAAACAACACCTTGCCCTAAGGCTTTGGGTTAGAGATACTGTTTAGACCAATAACCAATGACCTTCTTGAGATGAACAGTAGACCAAAACCTCTCTTTTGATGGCACAGCACCAGGGGCTGCTGAGCCCTTTTCCCAGTGGTCAGGGCTGCCAGCATTCACACGGCATGGATTCTTCACTCTCATCTTCCACGGCCATTCCTCCACTCCTATCCTTGCTGGCCCTCTGACCACTGGCTCCTATGGAATGCTCACTGCTCTCCAGTTCTGCAGAGGATTGGCGAGCACAGGCCTTGACCTAACAGTGGCTTCCTATGTGCCTTTGTGGTTCTTTGCTCTTCCTGCTTTGTTAAGGACTCTATATTGTGGCTTCTCCTGGGACACTTCCTTGATATGGAGAAGTGTAAGAAAAGGCTGCCAGCAGGCAGAAAAACAGAGTAAAACTGCATTTTGTTATGGAGCTTGGGTTCTGGGTCTCTTATTTAGGTGTTTGTATGGGCAGTCAGCTGCACTTCCAAGCCAGTTACTTCCAGCGATTCACCTTCAGGGGACTTAGAAGTGTGGTGGGAACAACAGAGATAAATATTGGTCACAGATTAATGATAAAAAAGAAAGAAATTTTAGTGAAACGATTTAACTGCTAGCTCACAATTTGTTCGCCAAGTTTTAGTCCAGTCAAGTTGAAATGGCCAAGTTCTTAGTGCCAACAATTGAGGTTTGTAAAGGAAATACCAAATCAACCTTGGCGGAAAAAGAGGCAGACATTAAATTTCAGAACAAAGAATGCATTTGCTTTGTAGGTTTAGAAATAAACAAGTTACTTAGAAGAAAATAAGTTTGAGGGTTTTTTGCTTGTTTGATTGCCATGTTGTTGAACTGGAGCAAATACTCTACAGAATTGTCAATGAGGGAAGGGGGAAGG